AGCCTCTGGGCTGCAAGGTCAAAAGATCAGCAGTTCAAATCCACATGACGGAGTCTCAGGATGGGGAGAAAGATTTTAATAGTCAAAAAATGTCATTGGATTGCCGCAGGCAGTCCCAATCCCACCAGCGGTGATCTGGGATAATATTTGCCTATGAAATGTTCCTTTTGATCGAAGATTTTGTATATATGGATCAGGAGACGTTGAAGATGTTTCTCATTATTTGTTAAGATGCTCTTTATATGATCACCCCAGGAGCAAATACCTTGCAGGCATACTTAGAACTGTATTTGACAGCCCTCCTCTGGCTTAATTTTGTATGCTGCTTGTGGGGAGGGATGCAATTACTACCCATCAAGCAGCAAAATTTGCCCTGGCAGCAAAGAAGATGCGTGCCAAGCATCAAAAATCCTAAATCTTTCTTTTTAAGTGAAATTGTGATATGACAGTGCCACATATGTTTGATGTTGTCATTGATACATTGTGATGACCAATGGTTTTAAGCAATCAGCCAATAAAGTAAAGACTATGAAAGGCTTCTTGTCCCCATCCCAAATCTCCCAAAGGCTTCCCGAGGGGAGAAGTTAGCCCTAGGGAGCCTTGCACCCTGAAGGGAGGGATAGCAAGCTTTCGATTCATATAAATTAACCATTTCTGGTGCTGAATCCTGTTTACGCTGGCATACCTTTTCACAGCAGGATTTTGCCTATTGATTCAACCAGTGACCAGAACACGAACACTAAGTAGAGTCTATGGTATATTATTCCTAGGTAAACATAGCTAAACCTGACCAGTATTTCTCAAACTTCATGGCAGACCTGGCACTTCCTGTGAAAACTGTTCCAGCATTCACCACCTGCATGACAAACAGCATCACCTGGTAGATTCTCATACCATTTTTTTTCTATGTGTTTATTTTATATGCGGCTTTATAGATAAATTGCAATATAAACTACGGTAGCTTACAACGTAGTTTTAAAAAACTATTGGTGAAAGAAAACATATGCAAGTCTTAAAACATAATTGAACTCACTGTAATATTAAAACACCACTAAAGTTAAAAAGATCTCAATTAAAAGTCATGATTTACGTTAAAAACACAAGAAACTCAGCATAACAAGTTCCAGACCTCTTGCCATCAGCACATTAATTGCTGAATTTTCCATATCTTAAAGAATTTAAGCTCTTTTGCTACATTTATGTAGACCTTTTTTTAAAAAAAAACCACCTTTTTAGGGGCACTGCCATTTTCTTTTAATTTTCTCCAATTTTTCATAAAATGTTTTTTATGTATCACTCCATCAGTATGTCTGACATTACAACTACCAACTCTGTTGTCTCCATTTGGCCAGTGAAGGAGCTAGTGGAGCAGTAGCAGACACACAATATGGGTGCCCTTGTATAAGGAGGATGAGCTGGGTGCCAGAAACATCACCTTGCAAAGCAGCTGGAAGCCTTCAGCACCACTTCTAATTTTTTTTCATCATTAATTGGCTGCGGTCACCTCTCCAGTGTTTTCCCCCTGTGGTTTCTAGTGACTATTATGACACCAAGTGGCACCTCCTAGACACTCAGTTTATCAATTTATTTATTTGGGGAATGGGGATGAAATCAAAATCAAGAACAGCATGTTCCTGAAACAGAGAGGAAATGAGTCAGTTTCAGCAATGTTGATGAATGATTTCTGGTGATTTAAACCAGTTTAAATCACCAGAAATAAATCAATTTTCGTGCATGTGACAGCAAAGGAACAAAACATTACAAATTTATGGTCCCTCTGCTTTGCTCACCACTCCTCTGTCATGTGACAGCTCCCTGATTAGTGAGAGTGCTTCCCTATCTGTCAAGAGTGAAGTGTGGGAACCACCCATGATACATGAATGGGGGACCAGCACCTGCGTGGCAATGGTTGTTCACATCATCCTTCTTTCTTCTTTCTTCTTTCTCAGGTTCTCATTCTTCCTTCCCCTTTCTTCTCCTTGTTTTCTTCTGAACCTCACATCTCCTCCCAACTGACGACTGTCTCACAGTATTTGCGAAGTTGTGTTCTTGAAGGCTTTCATAGCTGGAATCCAATGGTTATTGTGGGTTTTTCAGGCTGCTTGGCCATGTTCTGGAGGTTTTTCTTCCTAACGTTTCGTCAGTCTCTGTGGCCACGTCAGAACTCTGTCTGTGCTCTGTTCTGACTCCTGTTCTCTGAAGATGTCGGCCACAGAGACTGGCAAAATGTTGGGAAGAAAAACCTCCAGAACATGGCCAAGCAGCCCGAAAAACCCACAATAACCATTGGATTCCAGCTATGAAAGCCTTCAAGAACACAACTTCGCAAATACTGTGAGACAGTCGTCAGTTGGGAGGAGGTGTGAGGTTCAGAAGAAAACAAGGAGAAGAAAGGGGAAGGAAGAATGAGAACCTGAGAAAGAAGAAAGAAGAAAGAAGGATGATGTGAACAACCATTGCCACACAGGTGCTGGTCCCCCATTCATGTATCATGGGTGGTTCCCACACTTCACTCTTGACAGTACAAAAAAGTCCAGTTGCCATGACTCAACTTCCAGACAATCTTAGGTTGTGCCTCACAGCCTCGGGATTCAGGAAAAAAAAGACTTTTTGAAAAGCTGTCTATAACATCATATGTGTGAGAAAAGATGCCCTTGGAAGTGTTGGAGAGTATCTGTGAGAGAGCATCTCCATTTCAGTTCCAAGGGGAATGTGGGGCTTCTACTAAAAGCACATCCTGAAATAACAAAGGGGAGAAAGAAGAGAAGGCATGGATTCCACAAGGCCTTAAAATGTTTTCTATATTGTGAGTTGCATTGAGATTGCTGTTAAAGTAGGTGATGTTTCTGACATTATTGGAAACTTCTGCTCTCTCTTCAACCCAAAAGCTGTGATCTTGAAAATACAGTGGTGCCTCGCATTGCGACGTTAATTCGTTCTGCAAAAATCACTGTTGAACGAAAACGTCGCTATGCGATATTAAAAAGCCCATAGAAACGCATTAAAAACTGATTAATGCGTTCCTAGGGGCTTAAAACTCACAGTTCAGCGAAAATCCTCCATAGCGCGGCCATTTTCGGTGCCTTTTAAGCAAGGAATCCGTCCCAGAAAACAGTGGACGGCCATTTTGTTTACCTGGCGGCCATTTTGAAACCGCCGATCAGCTTTGCAAAAATGGTCGCTTTGCGATGATCGGTTCCCGAAGCAAAAAGTTTGTTGCAAAGCTAAACGGAGTGATCGCTAAGCGAGGCACCCATTGCAATGTGAAATTCCTTCATAGGGAACATCGCAAAGCGATCGCTTTTGCAATCGCAAAAAGTTTGTTGCAAAGTGATTTCGTCGCTAAACGGAGTGCTCGCTAAGCGAGGCACCACTATATGTGGAGTATTCCCACTGAACTCACTGGAGACTGCTGAATATTCATAGGATTTGGCTGGAAACCACTTTATATTTTATGTCAATACAATGTACAGTATTTAAATCTGAGTCAAAGTAAAGTTTGTTCGGAATGGACCATATCAGTTATTTATTTATTACACTTTCATACAATACGAATTAGCAATAAACACTACTCTGGGCAGTTTACATGCAAAGTAAGATATATATAAAACAAACTGTCAAATCAATCAATAATACCCCCAAAATCATAAATGGGCACTCATAGATAATCTTCTCTGTATCATTCCAATTTTAGTATGTGTGACTGGTAACAATACCACATGAAGACAAAATGCTCTCAAAGGCTTCAGTAAACAGCATTGTTTTGAGCATGCACTTAAATACAGTTAGAGAGGAAGCCAGGTGTAGCTCCACTGGAAGCCCATTCCAAACAGAAGGGGACATAACCAAGAAAGCCTTACTTCTGTTTGATGACCTTCTGGCCTTTCTCAGTGTGCCCCCACCCGCTCCAGGAGCATGGCCTGAGAGGAATGGGTAATGCGGGTGGATGCTTTGAGGGAAACATTCTCTTCATTGCTGTATCATCACATCTGTTTCAGCTTTCCAGCTGTAAAAGGCTACCATTTAATTATTTGGTTGGTGTAGGTTGTCCGGGCTGTTTGTAACCTTCTTCCTAACATTTCGCCAGTCTCTGTGGCCGGCATCTTCAAAGGACAGGGGTTAGAACTTTGAAAATACATGCATTTATTTCCCTAAATGCTAGGTTTCTACAGCTGGAAAACTGAAATATACACAAATGGCTATTAATGATACTGTTATGAAAGTCCTTAATGCTGTCTTCCCACTATTCTCAAAGTGCCACCTCATATTCATTTTTCCTTAAACTACAGTAATTGTAATTATCACAAGATCTGTAATAACTGACTTAAATTAACCTGTGTTAATTTAAGTCAGTTAATACAAATCTTGTGATAATTACAATTACTGTAATTTAAGAAAAAATGAGTTATGTTAAAAAAATTAACCTATGTTAATTTAATATTAACATAGCCGCCTATGTTAATTTTCTGACGATAAACTTACTTTTTTAAGAACAAGGAAAAGGCCACGTGGTTCCCCAAGATTACACGCATGCAAGAGTGGGCGATGCCTTTTATGGGACCACTAAAAAAATTGAACAAATAGCAAGTTTTCGTGGATGAAATCCACTTTCTCAGGCTAAGTACACTTCCTTATTGATAGCGCAGAAAAATTGTAGACACCATTTTAAAGGGATTTTTGCCCTCCTTGCCGATGATACAGCAACGACTGCCTTAATAAAGAGGCTTACAGCCCTCCTGTCCAGCTCCTAGAAGTCACCCTCTAAAAGCACCCACAACCATTTTAATCCCACACCCAAACCTGCAGCTGTGAGTCTGGAGAGTGGCTCACACCACCTGCTCAATGCACCATTGTCTCTGCAATCATCCCACTCCCGATTCTACAAGACCCAAGACATTTTCCTACCAAACCGCCCACCGGAACCTGCCTGGCCGAAACCCTCCCACAAAGCATGCTGGGAAGGCGAGTATTTTAAAGGATTTTGCCTGGGGGTGGGTGGGAATTGCTTTCCCAGAATGCAGTGAGAAGGAGTGACGCAAATGCCTTGCGACGGCGCTTCTTCTAGGAGCTCTTGCTCTCGCCAGCGGCCGGGGAAGCGGTTGCCGAAGAGATCCTTCGGAGGGGGATGGCGGAGCCCGGCAGCGCATCCTCGGGCATGGGCGGCACCGGAGGGAGCTCCACGGGCTCCGCCGTGACCGACCCGGCCTCGCTGCCCCCCGGCGACGCGCAGCTCATCGCCCTGATCGTGGGGCAGCTCAAGAGCCGCGGCCTCTTCGACGCTTTCCGCAGGGACTGCCTGGCCGACGTGGACACGAAGGTATCGCCTCTCTTCGCTTGCCCCGCACTCGCCGGCCGGCCTGCCCCGAGCAGCAGCTCCCTTTTCCTCCTCCTCCTCCTCCTCCTCCCTGTCGCCTCCCAAACCCGAACTGACCTCTCTCCTTCCGGCCTTCTCCCCTGCCTTCCCTCCTCGGCCTTCTCTGTCCCTCGAGGCTCTTCTCTCCGCCCCACCTTCATGAAATCAGGCTGAGGGATGCAGGTTCCCCACCCGAGGTGTGTATGCAGTCCCTGCCTGTTGAACCCGTTGCTTCAAGAGGTGCTGAGGGCTCCAACGCCGGAGGTAATCAAGAGAGACTTCGAGAACCACCTGGCAGAAATCTTTTGATTTGTATTCCTGCATCCAGCAGGGGGTGGGACTTGATGGCCTTATAGAGGCTTTTTTCAAATTCATGATTATCTGATTCTCCTTAAAACCTGTCCAGAAACTTCCCGATACACATCTCTATCCCTGCAAAACTGGTAGTTCCAGTATAGGGCTTTCCACTGCAATTAAAACTTCAGGGAGTCTTTCAAGGTATTTACTCAGAGATTTCGTGGTCATTTAGTGCCAGTTAGTGTATGTTTAATAGGGGATTAAAGAGCCATGTTGAAGAGGCATGTTTAATAGGGGATTTAAAATATATTAATTCAGTGAACAATTTCTCAAAAATGACTAACCTTCCTTTCCCATAAAGTTGTAATTTATAACAGAGCTTTTTCTGTAAATGTTCTCGGTGTTATTGTCTAAGCACTCTCAATGAATTCTAAGGTACAACTCCACGTCTCTTCTGGGTACACAATTTCCAAGTAACATTAAAAATACAATTTGGTTTTTAAGAAGCTTAAAACCAAAGCTGGTTGTTGGAAGAAACAAGGAACTGTCAGTCCAGTAAATTAGATTACTCTTGTGATATCATTGTGGAAACGTACTCTGCTTTTGCATAGAGGGACACCTGCCTTAACAGTTGCACATACCTTAGAAGGCCTGGCGGAGTTCCTAGGTCATCCTTCATGAAAGCCATGTGTAAGTTTCAGTTTGTTCAATACTACTGCAGTATTACAAAACTACTCTTAATTTCCTGCACAGGATTTCTTTCTGCAGGATGTAGAACAAGCACAATCTCTGTGGCCTTTCTTGCTCATTCTACAAGATGATGTAGTGGAATGGCCCTAATCCTTTTGACTAGTTACATCATAATGTCATGGCATTAATTGCAGTGGTAAATTGCTACTAGTTAACAGTGTATAATTCATTACACAGCAGTAACATGAGTTGTTTCTTGACAAAGGTTGCAAGTCACAGCTTGTTAACTAATAGCAGTTTGCCACTGTGATTTGCTCCCTTGTATTCATGCCAGCATAACTAACAATACAATTCTGGTCGTTATTAATGATATGGATTTCTGCACATATTGGGGCTTGTAAATGATCACTGATACAATTTACAAGTAAGAAAAGAAAGGCTTCTTAGAATTTCTCTAACCTTAAGTGTAAGACATTTGCTTTCTATAAAATGAGTAATTCAACAGGTTATTCCTAAACCAAACATTGAAGCTGGGCTTTACTGTTGCCTTCCAAATCATGTGGAAATACAGTTCCCATCAGTCCTAATCCTTTACTGTGCTGGCTGGATTTGATGAAAGTTGGAAGTTTTATATTGTCTTGAAAGCTGCATGTTCCCAATCCCTTACATTAAAGTTTCTTTGAGGTCAGGCTCTCTGAAAACCACTAATATATGTAGCTGAAACTATTTTCTTCCTTTTTTGCTTTGAGTTTCCTTTTTCTCCATCTTAAGGTATATTGTCCAGCCATGCATTGTTCTTGCTATTCAAAGTTTAAGGTTAGCATAGAAGACTCTGTTTCAGGGGCATGTAAAGGGGGGAGTTCCCAAGAAACCCTTTAATCTTATATTGATTGGGCTATTTTGTTTAGCCAGCCTACCAGAATTTGAGACAGAAAGTGGACAACTTTGTGTCTACCCATCTGGATAAGCAAGATTGGAACCCGGCAATGAACAAAAACCAGCTGCGGAATGGCCTCAGGCAGAGTGTGATTCAGTAAGTAATAGCTGCTTAAATAAAAGTGGCAATAATGAATCATTTTTGAACTCTTGAGGGAGAAAAATAGCTTTGCATGGGATATCTAAAATTAGTAGGTTTTTTTAAATGAGAAATTCCTCATAGATTGTGACCCTTCATATAATGAAGTGTTAAAATCCCATCGGTAGTCAACACTGTAGTCCTTTTTGGGACTTCAGCTTCCGTGTCCCGTATGGATACGGGAGCTGAAGTCCCAAAATTGCCAGAGGTCACATCTAGTTGGAGTGGCCTCTGCCAATTGGAGGGTGAGCACCTCCAGAAATGAGCCTCATATAGGTTCCCCACACAATTTAGAATGTGGTGAGGAACTGTGGCTCTTGAGATGTTTAACGAGGGGATTCAGTATCAGCTGCTTAAATAAAAGTGGGAGTGGTTGTGCATAAACATCTGGAGTTGTTAAAGCTTTGGTTCTATATCTTACAAAGACCCTATAAAGGTAGAGTACTTAACCAGTATATATGGTAGAGGACCATGTAAAGGGACATAATGGAGTGGTTCTATTCAGTGCAACCTCTCACTAATGCAATTCTAGTCATCTATGGCAGTGGTTCCCAAAAATCAATGCTTTTTTAAAAAAAAATCAAATTGATTTAAATGAAAATTTAAATTTTAAAAAATTAAATTTTAATACTTCAATTGTCAAATCCACCCTGTTTCCAACTTTGGGTCCCTGCATGTTCTTGGACCAGAACTCCTAGAAGCCATCACTACTAGCTGTGCTGGCCAGTATTTCTGGGAGTTCCAATCCAGGAACATCTGGGGACCCAAGGTTGGGAACCACTCACCTATGGGAATTAAGAGCTTCACTAGGTCTCAGATTTCTCTCAAGTGGGACTTGTGGCAGGTTGATGAACAGTTACAAGAAACTCAAGATTTGAAAAAGGTTGAACATTTTGTGAACTTTATAGCATTTGGCTTTAATCTGTCTTCAGTGTGAAGTGCAATGTTATACTGACCTCTGTTTCATGAAGTTGTGGGGTTTTTTGTCCAGCAGAGTGCAGTGATGAGACACTTAGCCCCCTAAATGATTCCTGCTGATAAATTCAGTACAGTGTGTACTGTCTTCAGATTGGTAGGAACTGTTCCCTAATTTTGTGGAAGGCCAAGCTTGCTAGATATTCTGTGTACTGTATCAAATTCATTGAATTTATGAATAAAACACAATGAAATATAAAATAATATTGAGGACAATTTCTGGGAGCAATAGACAAAGTTTATACAGTATAGTTTCTACAACTTTCCCATAGAGTGTTAGCACAATAACTAGTCCAAGGGAAGACAGTATTCTGGTCTTCAGAGTATGTATACAATGCCAGATGACATCAGGATCATGTCTCGTTTGCCAACATATTGAATGGATACCCCCACACATATATACATTGCCCATAATCTGGGATTGGCCTTCTTCTCTCCTCCCAAGCTAGGAAAAGGAAAGAGGAGCTAAGTGCTGGGGATTGCAGATGCAAGCTAAGGAAGCAATAGATTCCACTTCATATCTGTAGACATAATAAAATAAGTAAGATTTTCTTTGTAATGAATTGGAGAGTATTTGGAATGTGCACTCGTGCCTTCTCATCTGACTGGTCTCAAACAAGGGAAGTGGGCTTTTTTTTTAAACCTGAAGAGTTTACAGAATAATCCTGTAACTGTGTATTCAAAAATAAATTTCTGTCTGCATTGGATCTTTCTTCTCTCTAGGTGTGCATAAGACACACTCTGCTCCAGCACACATATGCCTTTAAATTATTCTTATTTATTTAGAAGATTGTTTTGTTTCTTCAAGTTACAAACATATTTATTTTTAATTTAATAAAATTGTATTACAAGAAAATTCAGAAAAACAGCATTAAAACAGAGAGCAACTTTAAAAACAATCTGCAACATCCAGATGCAAATTTTAAAATCACATAAGAATGGCTTGGTGATTTTCTTTAAATTTGAAGGAAAGTGAAGTAGTTGTGTTCAGCAGAGGGCCATCTCATAACCTTGGTGCTACTTTTACAAGACCCTGTATCATGTGCTGACTACCACTGTGCCTGAAGACAAAGGGGCACAAATTAAGGCCTCTAGTGATGATTGCAGAGGGTAGTCAAATTCATTACAGGAGGTTGTTCTTCAAATAACCTGGTCCTCCAGATGACTGAAAGCAGAGTTCAATCCATTTCACAACCCCAGAGCAATATACTTCATAAAATTGGTCCCAGCCAACATTTTGTCCATTATATTTTGTACTAGCTGAAGTTTCTGAACATTTTGAAGGGTAGTCTTATGTAGTGGATGTTGCAGTAATCCAGTTTTGGTTGATCACAGCCAATGTGTCTCACCAGGCATGTGTTTTCTAGGAAAGACTCATCTGGCACTTCATGCTACATCCTGTTGTCATATGTTAACCTGATCTAGCCAAGCCTGTGTAAAGCTGATGAGGATTGACATCAGGTTTCAAAAAAGCAAAGTGTGCTGCTTATGTACTGCCCCATAGTGCTCAAAGCACTCTGGGCAGTTTGCAATTTATTTATGCAGGCTACACATTGCCCCTCTCCCCCGTGAGCTGGGTATGCAGTTTACCAACCTCAGAAGAATGGAAGGTTGAATCAGCTTTAAACTTGAACTCAGAATTGAACTCGGTCATGAGCAAAATCTTCATTGCAGTACTGCAGTTTAACCACCACCACGAGGCTCCTCCATCCTCCTCAGTTCCATTTGGGAGTCAGTGCACCCTTTGGATGATTTCAGTGAAAGCCCTGCTTTTTTTTTTTAATGGAGAAACCTGTGACTGGTTTATGAAAGCAAAATTTGGAGAAATTATTTTTTAACATTATATCTCTCCCCTAGTTACACTGGACGGTGACCATGATACTTGACTCCATAAGTTGCAAACAAAACAAAGGTAGCATTCTCCAGCGTTCTCAATGAACTATAAATACCACTAGTTAAGATATAATGCAGTTGAGCCTGTGTGACCTCCATCAGCATGTGGTGGATTAAAAGGCAAGCTTTTGTCTTGTTTGCAAAGGCAATCAAAATAAATCAGTATTGTAGCATTTCAGGATGCATTTCACATTTACCTTTGCTGAAGTGACCAGTGCTAATCTGGATGGGTCACCCCTTGACAAATTCAAAGCCAAATCGAAGTAAGTGTGGGACGGCAGAGCTGTGAAATGGAAAGATATTTGCGCATTGCGCTCGATCGCTCATAGTGAGTAAGCTTAGTGAAAACTGTTTCCATTGGAAGCAAACACATTATAAAGGCCCTGCTTGTTTTTTTTGTGGGTTCGCATCTTGTTGTGGGCTCACTGAATCTTGATCCTCTCCCTTTTCTTGATCTTTTGGCTTGCAAAAGAAGGTAAGATGTACAAAACCATTGGAATTCTTTTTTACTTGCATTTGTCCTCAAAAGTGTCCACATTGGGGCTTCGACTTCTTAAAGCAACCCCTGTACTGGAAGCAGCTGTGTCACTTCAAAGGACTGGCATAGCAGAATGGCAGGAATATAGCCCTGTCTGCATTGCACGTAGCTGTCACCCCTGTATGTGACACAGTGCACGAATTGTAGGAGCTGGGAAGGCATCAGAGCAGATCTGACCAGTGAATCAGCTCAGCAAGCACATAAAGTCCAAGAGTCTAAGAATACAGATCTTGCTTAAGTCTCGAAACACTGTGTACTGTTAGTTTTCTGGCCAAGCAAGCTCACGTTCAACTTGTAGCTGCTTTTCCAAGTACTAGGCGGTGTCTCTGTTTTTCCCTCCCCTAGTTTGCTTCAGACATGACTTAACCCCGCCAGACAACCCTGCTCCCTTGATTCAACACAGCCTTGAAGTAATAAGTCATTTTTAATTTTTTTTAGTTTCTGACACACTCTGTTCCCCCCCAAAAAGCTCTTTGTCTTGGGCTGCATGTGTTTGTTTTTGTTTGTCTAGTAAGAAGTGCCTGTGTGTCTAGACTGGCAGATGTGGGGAGCAGGTGATGGCAGTGGGTCCTGGGGCAAAAGCTACCTTTTTGCTTTTTCATTGTCAGTGTCCCAGCTAGGAGGCTGGCCTCCCCTCATCTTGTGCCTATCTTCTCCAGGGCATGTATATTTTTCCTTCTGTTTGTGCCAAGACACCTTTTATTGGTTACTTTGTGCACCATCAACAGCCTTCAATCCAGAGTACTGTACTGTTCAAGCAGTGTGCTAACCAGATGTCTGCTGCGAGTTCAGAAGAAGCCCTAAAAGGTGGCAGGTTCAAAACCTGCTGGGTTTTCTTTGCAGTGGGTGAAATGCCTCCCTCTTTCAAAAGCTGACTGTGGGGAGCTGTCAGATTGCACAATAATCATGCTAATTGCAGCTGACATGATGACTCTGGAGAGGTTCCATGGGGGCATGAGGGATGGTTTTTTGAGATGCTCAGTGGCTCTTTTGTCTTTGCCAGGTCGGGGATGCTGGAAGCTGGAGTGGACAGAATTATTTCTCAAGTGGTTGATCCAAAACTAAACCACATCTTCAGGCCACAGATAGAAAAAGCAATTCATGATTTCCTGGCTGCGCACAAGAAAGAGGAATCTGTGCCAGCTCCTCCCCCAGAACCAGAGAGTCAAGATCCTCCTGCTCCATCGCAAGATGCCTCGTAAGGTCTGGCATTGCAGTACCTCTTCCTTTTGCAAGACCATATAATCCTTTTGTGTCATGACTCATCCGAGGAGCACAGACTTGCCCAAAACCAGGACAAGGTGCTCAGTGCTGAGCTAATGCCAAAAGTACTACTAGAGGAAAGAAGTTGTGGTCATAGAGTTCTCACCTTTTTCTAGAATGGTGATTTTCTTTAACATCACAGTGTGTTCTGGAGGTACTTTGAAGCTGTGCATTTTCCTGCTTCATATGTCTGCTAAGCTCAGTACAACACTGAGGATCAGAGTACATCCTCAGTACAGTAATAACCACACATTTTGGAGAGCCACAGCCTGCAAGGGACTGCCATTGTTGCAATAGTGGGAAGTTCATTTGGCTCTACAGTAATGCATTGGATCTAGCTGCAGACAGAGTGAGCAACCAGATCTGAGGTAGATTCAAGGCACATTAGCTCAAGTCCGTTTTGACTAGATTGATATCAGGCTTGATTGATCTGTAGTTCCCAGGTTCCTCTCTTTTTCCCTGTCTTCAAAAAGGGCAAAAGGGGGACCCTGGGAACTACAGACCAGTCAACCTGATATCAATGCCAGGGGAAATTCTGTAGCAGATTATAAAGTGGCCACTATGCAAACACTTAGAAAACAATGCAATAATAACTAGAAGCCCACATGAATTAATCAAGAACAAATCCTGTTAGACTAACTTGATCTCATTTTTATTGGGTAATCTCCCTGAGAGAATTCTATAGACACTGTATATCTGGACAAAAGCAAAACTTTTGATAAAGTGCCCCATGATATTCTGTTGGGCAGGCTAACTAGGTGTGGGCTGGATAGAACAGCTGGTGGATATACAGTTGGCTACAGAATCTTACTCAGACGGTGCTGTTTAATTGCTTCTTTTCAAACTGAGAGAAGGTAACAAGTGGGGTACCCCACTTCCATCGCCCTGTGCTCTTCAATGTTTTTATTAATCACCTGTATCAGAGGGTGTAGGGGATGCTAATCAAATTTGCGGATGACACAAAATTGGGTGAAATAGCTAGTACCCTGGAAGATACAAACAAAATTCAAAATTATCTAGATAGGCTTGACAATTGGGCTGACAACAGCTGACTGAAATTCAACAGGGATAAGTGCAAAGTACTGGACCAAAGAAAAAGAAACCAAACATACAGTTACATGATGGGGGATTCCTGACTCATCAATACTACAAGTGAGAAGGATCTTGTTGTAGATCACAAACTGAATATGAGCCAATAGTGCAATGTGGCTACAAAAAGGCAAATGCTATTTTAGCCTTGTGAGGAAAGACTGAAAGAACTCGGCATGTGAGGTACTCTTTTCCCTCTATTCAGCACTGGCAACTTGAGTACTGTGTCCTGTTCTGGACACCACACTTCAAGAAGGATGCTAACAAATTGGAACAAGTTCAGAGGAGACCAACAAGGATTCTCGGGGAGCTGGAAACCAAGCCTTGTGAGGAAAGACTGAAAGAACTGGGCATGTTTAGCTTTGAGAAAAGAAGATTGAAGGGTGATTTGATAGCATTTTTCAAATACTTGAAAGGCTGTCATACAGAGGATGGGCAAGATCTCTTCTCAATCATCCCAGAGTGTAGGACATGCAACAGTGGGCTTAAGTTACAGAAAGCCAGATTTCAGTTGAATATCAGGAAAAACGTCCTAACTGTTAGAGAAGGATGGCAATAGAGTCAATTACCTCAAGAGGTGGTGAGGGCTCCAGTGCTGGAGGAATTCAAGAGAAATTTAGACCACCAACTGGCAGATATCCCTTGATTTTTATTCCTACATTGATCAGGGTATTAGACTCTGGCCCTTCCAACTTCATGATTTTGTGATTCTAAGATGGCCCCTTGAGTCACTTGTTCAATGTTAAGACAACTCTAACCTAATCGTACTTACTCAACAAGTCTTTTCTAGTTGGGAACTTGACATTAGATATAGAGTTTGCATTTTTTAAAAAATCATTTCACTTCCTGTATTTAGTGTCTTTGGTCTGCTTGATCATGCAAAACACCATGACAGTTTTGATTTTTGAAAAGCAGCAATTCTGAATGATATAAGCAACTTTATAATCAACCAGTAGGTATGCTTAAAGTAACAAGTCTGTTTTCTCTCTCATCTTTCTGCAGTGCATTTGTGATTTTCGAGTGGCTACAGTTGCAAAACCCAGGCTGAATCTGATTGGCACTGGGCTACAGATCTGAAGGAGTGCAGTTTGTCAGCTAATACCAACCAGCCATGATTTGAGGGTGAAGTGCTGACAAAAGGCACAAGTGTGGTGTAAAGGAACAGGCTAAATATGAAAACATGTTATTATGGGCAGAAGTAGCATCTGTTTTTCTAATTGTGTATGTGCAGGATGGGTTGCCTCTTTGCAGGGAGCCACTTGGGAAAAGAACTTCTCATGTGATATTAGTAAAATTGATGGTGTATGGGGGTGTAGCCAGAGGGGAAAAAGGCATTCTGGGTATGCTTAATTTCCTGGGAAGCCATTGTATGCAAGAGAGCCTTGTAGACAGGTCTAGACTGGGGTGCATCGGCGTATAAACAAGCATGAAATTGACAACAGCAAAGGATCACTGACTACTAAATGCATACTTGAATTCAGTAATAATTCACTCAACAGTGCCTGTACACATCTGATAATAGCTGCAAAACCTATTCATCATTAATTATCTGGATATATCTAAAATCAAGGTTCCAAAAGTGGTGTCTTGACAAATCTTGCAGCTTGGCTTGCTTCTCTGGCTGATCAGGGAAGCAGATTGGAGCGCTAAGAAGATTCTTTTGGTTTTGAAATTCTTCATGCGCCCATTAGAAAGATACATTAGAGTCAGAGAAGTTCGCAAGGAGGCATTTGCATTTTAAGAGTTTGACTAGCAATTCGCCAGATGTTTTTGTATAACAAAAATAATAGAAAATATTAGTTGTCTGAGAAAGTGTCTTGTGAACTACGTGACACTTACATTTCAAACAAAAAGTGCATACATTTGGGATATTTAATGAAATGCACTGCCCATTTTACATTTCTTAGGAGTTTGTCAGATTGAACAGCTTCAGAAATTGACTTCATGATACCTTAATTGTTAATCCAGTCAAAATCATGTTGAGAAAATTACACCTGTGTAAGAGTGATTATGTCATTGACAGGGAAAGGTTGGTGGTAAATAAAGAGTTCCTGCTTCGATCCTGGGTCCCATCCCACAATTTCCCTACACTCAGTCTTGTCATGGATGAGCCCTGAAATCAAAGCAGAAACTCTTTAATTACTGGCATTCTCCTCCTTCCAATGGTATCATCGTCTTACTCAGGGATAATTTACTCAACAGGATTTTGTCTCTTTAAAGCTGGCCTTTTGCCTTAGTTACAAGAAGATCCTCTCAGCATTAACCTGTGTAGAATACAGAATCTGAGCAGCTTCAACAGAATTTGCAAAGGAGACCATGTCTGCTCTTTCCAGTGAAAAAAGAAGTTGTTAGGTATGCATTCGGATGTCATATCATAGAGTGAGTTGCTGGTACATGAAAGAGCTTAGAATAGCCTTCTAGGTTCTTACCTCCCTAGCTTGCTGCAAGCCATGATGCATCTTTGCATCAAGACTGGCAAATTGTGACTCGATACTTGTCAACCAGCAATTCAGCACAGCTGCAAGTGTGTATGTTTTTTTTCCAAATTGTTTCCTAAGCATGTTAGCTGGAGATGCCTTTGGGTATGCATTGTTGGTTAATGTATTGTTGAATAAGACACATTGGGTTGAAACATGTTTAATGTGTTACAGCAGAATTTGGATAAATTCATCATGCATAACATATTTCAGTTTATGAATGTTTATATATGAACCATTGCTGGATATTTTTGTTTAGTTCTCACCTTTCTGGGTTTTAAAATATTAAATATTTATATTTGGGGTTTTGTAATTATTTCACACCTTTTTTCCTGTTATATGAGGCTTTGGAGGTGCAGAGGGGTTGATTAAAATCATTTCCTTACATGTAGCTTTTGAGCTTACCCTGTAAACTAAACTTGACCCTGGTTTTCTCAGCAAGTGCAAACCATAGCTTGCTGGCTTAGTAACAGTAAACTACTCTGGGAGTATAAAAGCCTCAGACTTATTCATGTAGTGCAAAACTAGTGTTATATTGGACTAGCATTTGAAATTAGGGTTTAAGCGGTATACAGTGGTGCCTCGCATAAGGAGCGCCCCGTAGAGCGATTAAATCACTTAACAAGGGGCTCTGGGCCATCGCTGGAGCATTCGCTCAGCGATGGCCCCTATGGAGGTTTTTCGCATTGCGATATTCGCTAAGCGATTCGCTTAGCGAATATCGCATAATGAAGCGGGGAGAACAGCTGATTGGCGGTTCCAAAATGGCTGCCGGAAGATCCCCGCCGCATTTTCCGGCCCCTCCCCTCGTTTATGGAGGGCGCGAAAATGGGGGCGCTATGGAAGAACTTTGCACAACGGTGAGTTTTCAAGCCATAGGAACGCATTGAACAAAGTTCAATGCGTTTCTGTGGCTTTTTTATTTCCGCACAGCGATGTTTCCCATAGCGAGGGTTAATCTGGAACGGATTAACCTCGCTATGCGAGGCACCACTGTATCTGTCAGCCTTCCTAAACATGGTGTCCTCTAGATGTGTTGGACCACAACTCACCTCATCCAGCTAGCATAGCCCATGGGGCTGTTGGGAGTTGTAGTCCACCATAGCTGGAGGCACCAAGTTAGAAAAGTCTAGTCTATAATGTTCTTACCATGGAGTACATATTGACTCTGAAAGTCAGGACTTTTCCATATCTGTTCCCTTGTGTACAAAAAAGTGCTGTTTAGCTCTAATGGAGATCTCTGGATTTCATTTGAGAATGGAAATACAGAGTTCTATTTGTTCAAAACTAGGTTAGTTTAAAATAAGAAAGTATTGCTGTAGTATCAGAATCCCACTTCAATATTTTAAAAAGATTTCTACTGTTTCCTATTTTTAGCTACCTAGGTTTTTTTTTTTTGCCAGATTGAAATATCTGCTTAAACAACTCTGAATTTACAGTTGATGAAATCTATCTCAGCAATACTGCTGAATACATAATGTGAATATTTCTGTGTGTTCTTGGCAAACTTCCGACATATTGTGAAGAGCCACAGTAATTTGCCAAGCCCTTTCACTGACCTGTGCACCCTTCAACAGGATATTCAAATCTTGAAACTCCACTGCTTTCCCATTCTTCTGAAGGCCATCTTTTTCCCTTTGTTCATACCCTGATGTTTTAGAGTTCAGCTCCCAAAAACCCCAACCAGCTTGGTCAATGGTAAAGGCATGTTGGAGCTTTAATCCAAAACTTGTGCAGGACCAAATGTTCCTCACTTCTGGTCTCCAGAGTTTCAGACAGGGAATCTTTTTCCAACCCTATGTGGAATTGGTCTGTGCTCACACAAACACTTGGGTTATTTACTTCAGCTCTTAATGGGAAAGGTGAGATCATCTAAAAATTCTGACACTGCATAACATTGTCTCTAAGGAAATGAGCAAATAAAGGCTTCCAGTGTTGGAAGAAAAGTAACCAAAGGAGCTGTCTTGCATAGCCTCCTACTTCAGCACATTTAACTAGAGATCAAGTTACCTAGCTTTTTATTCATGCAGTGAGTTTAGGGAAGAGCTGAGTAGGGGAGGCGATTGTGCATGATCTTGTGGTATACAGTATTAGTGAGCTACTATTTATGTACTGCAGTGTGTTTGTGCAGGTGCCCCACAGCTGAAATCTACCCTGTAGAGAACATCACATTTTATACAGCAGACTTTGGGAGGCACATGTCCTTAAAACTCTTGCATGTGCATTTCCAGGGCATCCTGTTCTCACTTTATTTAGTGAATAAGCTGAACTCCATGCGCAGAACTGTCGTGCAGAAAGGACTGTCATACTGTTTTTGAGAGTTGAGGCCAACTGACACTTGCTTATGAAGAGTCTATCTTAGCAGAGACATGAAGGATGTGGATTGCTCTGAGCCTGATCCAGGTTGAGCTGTTTCATACAATGCCTCTTGATGCCCTGCTCTCTGTCCTTGTCCTGTTCTGTGGTTTTCCAGCTGGTGATCTGCCTTATATCACATGAAGCACTTGCAGTCTTAGTCCCACAGAGATTTCATGGACTATGTTGCTTGTCTAAGTGGCCCCACTGTAAGCAGCTGTTAGGACACGTTCATTTAAAACAAACTAATTCGGGGTTAAGGTGCAGCTTGCTTATGTGCTAACTTCTCTAGGTTACTTTAGAGCCTCTTCCAGCATTTGAGGAGGTTTCAAAATGTGCAGGAGTGATATACTTTTTTTTCTGGCTCTCATGGGAAGAAACGGATACATAGGTATCCTTGAAAAGGATAAAAGGCACTGAAGCCCTGAGATTTCAGGCTTGGGAATGCTGTGGATTGCAAGCTTATCAAGCTCTGGGACCTGAAAGTCAATGGTAATCTTACAGCTGACTTTGGTGAATCTAAGCGCCTTGGCAATTGCATCTTGTTTTGTTCTCTGGCAAGAATGCAGTGACCTCTTGTGAATCATGATGGAAAGATTTCAAGGATGTTTCCAATTGTTTTAAAAGTTTAATGTTGACTTCTTTCTTAACCATGAACCATTGCACAGAGTAGGATTGTCAAGATTCTGTTAGATAACTGTCACACTGAATGAATTCCAGCTCCTAAGCAAAGCATATTTGGAAGTAAATCCCACTGATTTTGTTGGATTTCTATCTAAGTGTGCTAGAATCTACACAGTATATAAAATCATTGCGTGAAAGTTCTGGGCAGGAGAGTTATACTATGGCTGAGCTAATGGAGCATAGTAGCGTGACAATTGGCAGGACTGCATACATCTTCTGATGTTCGGTGGCTTTTTTTCACCCCAGATTTCCCCACCTTGGGTCCCCAGATGTCTTTGGACAGCAACTCCCAGAAATCCTGGCCAGCACCGGCTAGTGGTGAAGGCTTCTGGGAGTTTTAGTCTGGTTGTGAACAACTGGTTTACAACTCAGGAATAGGAAGAGGTTTCCCTTTTCCAGGTCATAACCAAGAATCTGCTGAATCTGCTGCTTGTTTTGTGTGACTGACTTTTCTCAGTGGCCTGTGTTCAAGAGAATAAGCTGTAGGAGCACTGTAGCTTGTCTACTAAAATGTAGGTCTTATCAAAGGTGTTACTCAAGCAGTAATTAGTTGATTTCTTTGGAAAATGTGTCTGAGGAGCAGACAGATGTATTAAGATGTGGGTCCAGAAGATTAAATGGACTCTTTTCTTTCCAGAATATTTCATAGCTTCTAATTGAAATGGTTCCTATTTCTTCAAGCCGTCATATAATACCTTGAATGTGCTAACTCAGAAGAGTATGCTAATACCTTTAATAGGGCTCAGGAAATTGCTGCATTTTTTCATCTGATACATTCATAATGTGAACAGGCTTAAGAGATTTTCTGCCTTCTCAGCTTTCTCCTATCTTGGCCATATGTATTAACCTGCCTAGTCACAGGAGACCAGCTGTGATTAATTTTTTTCAGAAGCCCTGGCTGGGGAGCAGGAATTGTATTTTTGAAAACCAGCAGAATTCTTTCAGTGGGTTTATCTGCACTCAAACAATGGTTGATTTTAAAGCCTGCTAAGTCATTACTTTTGCTTAGAAGGTTTTCAGCAGAGACAGAATATGGGTTTCACTGAAACTGTGTCTTTCCCCCTCCATCCTTATTTTGGGAAACATTTTGGTACTTTGCCTCCTTCAAATGTTAAATGCGGCAAGTGATAGTAGTGTACATTTCAAGGTTATGGGAACACTAAATATGCCCTATGCTTTTCTATCCTCAAATGAACTCTGCTGCAATCCATTTGCAAGCCTTAAATGTTTTTCTTTCAGAGAAGGAATAAAGGGAAATATACTCTATACTCTAGATTGATATAATGCTTTCATCCCACTGATAAAGAATACATTTCAAATATAAAAATGTGTAACTATTTCAAGATGTCTTTTTATGGAGGAAAGTCCTGTATTTGAAGGACTGCTGGAGGACTGTATGTATGTATGTATGTATGTATGTATGTATGTATGTATGTATGTATGTATGTATGTATGTATGTATGTAATTATTTAATTATTTAATTATTTAATTATTTAATTATTTAATTGACATTGCAATCGTGTTTTGTTTGACATCAGGCATATAGGAGAAAATATGCAGTTATACTATTAGTTCTAAGTCCTCCTTTTCGAAATGTCCCCCATTTGAAGAGCTGTCCAGTGTTATTTAAAGGTGAAGAACCAAAAGAGAAGAGATCAGGGACCTTGCAGTTGTCCATTCACAGTGAAAAATAGGAGAGCAAGTAGAAACGTCTTTTAATCACACGCTTCCCTATTAGAGTGAAATGCATTGTAATTCTGTTTAAATTCTGAAAAATCATGTCTTAATATATCATCTGTATGTATACATTGGCAAATGCTATTTTATGTAACTCAGTGGCTGGCCTTGCCCCCTGTCTAGGTGAAACTTGTCTTTTTTGTTGGTGAGTAAGTGGCCACTAACTGGGGAGTGGGGTTCTTAACTAGAATTGTTTCTTACTTAGAAGCATAGTAGAGTCTAGACTCATGATTGAAATTGTTCAGTACTTTAAACTATGATAGGCTACCACCAACTCCCATTGATGTTGATATTAAGAATTCAGTAGCTCATCCAAAACAAAGACTTGGAAAAATTAGTATTACATGACCCTTTCCAGACACAGGCTCAGAAAGATTTGTGAAGTTTATTTGAAAGAAAAAAGAAAAGCAGGAAAGTGTAAGAATAATTTTAAAAATAGGGAAACAGTTTCAGGTCCAAAATAACTGTGGGTTCAGGATTACAGGATACAAAACAGAAGCACCAGAAAACAACAGAATATAAAG